GGACGCCTGAGTCCCCGCGGCGCTCCCGCCGACCCGCCCACCCATCAGCCCACCAGACGCCCTCGCCTGTCACTCTCTCGGGCTCCCGGCCATGTCTCCCGCCCGGCTCCGGCCCCGACTGCGGTTCTGCCTACTCCTGCTGCTGCTACTGGTGCCCGCGGCGCGGGGCTGTGGGCCGGGCCGGGTGGTGGGCGGCCGCCGGCGGCCGCCGCGCAAACTTGTGCCGCTCGCCTACAAGCAGTTCAGCCCCAACGTGCCCGAGAAGACCCTTGGCGCCAGCGGGCGCTATGAAGGCAAGATCGCGCGCAGCTCTGAGCGCTTCAAGGAGCTCACCCCCAACTACAACCCTGACATCATCTTCAAGGACGAAGAGAACACGGGTGCCGACCGCCTCATGACCCAGGTGAGCGCGATCCACTCTTCCAGCGCGCCGCCGAAGCAAGGCCACCTGCCCCCTGGCACCTTTGCTCGACTGCCTGGCACGCCCCCTGGCACCTGCCCCCCTCACCAAGCTGACTTCTGCTCAACACGGGCCGGCCAGGGGTCCGGGTGGGCATGTCAGCATCTCTGAGCCCGAGCCCGGAGGGTGTGTGAAGAGCTTCCCACTGCCAAGCCCCACAGCCCAGCAGGCAGCGTGGCGACGTCCCCTCTGCCCAGCAGCGGTGGCAGCTCACGCCAGCCGTGGTACCCGGAGGTACCTCAACTCTATGACTGCCTGCACCTCTGGGGCCCACGCAGTCCCTCCCAGCCTAATCTTCCTCTCGGCGGCGCCCTTTTCATTTCAAAGTCATTTGGCACCCTCGAGAAGAAGCTCCCGGCGCAGGGCCCCGTGGACTTTCCTCCCTGAGCGCCCTAGGTTGGCTGCAGCTCCTCCTGGAGCGGTGTCCTGACTGGGTCTGGGTTTAAGGAATAGCGGGGAAGAGTGGAGCCGAGAGGCGGAGGTGGGAGAGGGAACCACCGATCGCGCCCACGTGCCTGTCCTGAGAGCTGAGCGGCTGGCTGCGGTTACAGGGCGGGTGCCGGCTTTTGGGCTCTAGGAACGAACTTGGGGGTGATCCCTGGGCTTGGTGAAGGGGACAGGAAGAATCTGAAGAGAGGGGCAGGGATGCCTTGGGAGGCCGGACGCAGAACTATAATCTCTGTGTGGAGCGCAGGGACACAAAAGTCCTTCCCTCCTGCCGCGTGCGCAAGGGAAACTACGCTCCCTTCCTCTAGGGTGTCCTGGCTCTTTCTCCGCTAGGAAGAGCTGCTAAACCACGGCATTCAGCATGCGCCCTGGCGCCGAGGCCGGCCGGCCGCTGTCGGGGCCGAAGGTTGGCTGGTGGCCGGGCCGGGCCGGGCGCCGAGGAATGCAGATAAGGATCCGGGCCACAGGCTGGGCAATCATTGACAGCGAGCGCCCAGGCTCTGCACCCGAGGGCGGGGGTGGCAGGGGACAGAGGGCGGGGAGCTGGGATCTCCGGGCGGACACCAGTTGGGGGCTAGAATCCGGGCACCAAGGACCTGGAAGGAGCAGGTGGAGCTCCCTCTCTGGGCAGGGAGAGCCCTCAAGCCCGGCTGTACACCGGAAGGACCAACCTGGCTTTCGGCTCTCAGCTCCTGGGAGGCTGAGTCCAAGGGTCTGTGGGGCCCAGACTCCGTGGGATGAGGGTAGATTGAGACACAGGCTGCCTGTCCTGGGCGGGGCCTCACACCTGGGACACAAGGAGTGCTGTAAGGTGCCTTCCTGGATTCCTGCACCTACTTTCCTCAGCTGCATGGTCCGATGGGCTCTGAGGCCCCCGGCCCGTGGTGAGGCAACAGCCACAGATTTCTCCGGCCAGGCTGGGATTCCTCTCCAGTAACACACTTCGCAGTGCTGTGCCTGCACTCGGCACCTGCCATGCCTCCCGGGCCAGTAGTCCCAAGCCTCAGGCCTGAGGCTGCGGTGACACCTACTGGGGACCGAGGGCCTTGCATGCCCAGCGGGCCAGCCGCAGGCTGTCGGTGGTGCTAACTGCCTCTTCCATCTCTGTCGCTGCCCGCCCTTTGACCTTGGCGAGTTCGAGGCACACGGAGCTGGAAAAGTTTGGTCCCGTCTGTGGAGAGACAAACGCTGCGCAGTGGAGTTAGAACCCAGGAGGAAAAAGGAGCTCCGCCTACCAGAGGGGGTGTGCTTCCGCGCCCCCTTCAGTTTGTGGAGTCCTCGTGCCGCCCAGTTCCCTGGGGCGTCTGGATGCTAGAATGGGAGGGAACACTTTCAGGGCCTCCTTACCTAACAGAAAAGGACAGAGACCCTCCTTGGTTTTCCGACTGGAATGGGTGCGGTGGGCGCATCTGCTGCCGGCCCACCCCACGCCGGATTGGCTCCTCCTGCTAACGCTGCCGCACTTGTTCCTCCCTCAGCGCTGCAAGGACCGCCTGAACTCGCTGGCCATTTCAGTCATGAATCAGTGGCCCGGTGTGAAGCTGCGGGTGACCGAAGGCTGGGATGAGGACGGCCACCACTCAGAGGAGTCCTTGCACTACGAGGGCCGCGCTGTGGACATCACCACTTCAGACCGCGACCGCAATAAGTACGGACTGCTGGCGCGCTTGGCAGTGGAGGCCGGCTTCGACTGGGTGTATTATGAGTCCAAGGCTCACGTGCATTGCTCCGTCAAGTCCGGTGAGCCGCTGCCGGGGGGCTGGGCCCGGGGCCGGGGCCGCAGGGAGTGGGCAGTCAGTACAGTACCCGCCTGGGCCACGAAGGTGAAGATGTCCGCTGCTAGGGGTTGGAGGCGGGGATCCCGGGGAAGAGGACGACGTCTGCGGCGCTCCCTGCAGCTGCTCACAACCTCCTGCGCCTCCCACACCTGGTAGTTTCATATGATTCCAGCCTAGGGAGACAGGGTCTGGCCCAGGGACTCTTCGTGTTCACCTGGGGGTTCACAGTCCAGAGCCTGCCACAGAACGTGCAAGACAGATCAAGCTGGACAGATGGAGGAAGCCAGGCTGGCAGGCATCACCTCCCCACCCAACTGATGCACAACATAGCTCTGGTGGGACCAGGGGCCTGTGTGTGTTCAGACACCATTATGCCTGATCAGGAGCCCAGAGGTTCACAACCATCACCCAGCTGCAGGTCAGGCCTCCCAGGGGCTACAGGCATCCCCAACCTTTGCCCCAGAGCCCTGAAGCTGGACATTTGGGGGGCAGAGCTAGCCATGAGAGCCAAAATAAAGTGGACTCAATAAAATGGATTTTCCCAAATTGCCCGCCTTGTTGATCAGAATTGACAAGCACGGGAGCCTCACCCTTTCCTAAGGTCACCCGGGTCCTTGTTGTCCACACCAAACCCTCTCACAGATGTTCCCCATGGTTCCTCTGTGGGTCTCCTCCAGGCCCACCTGGCCACAGGCTCAGCCCTCCACATGGGTCCCATGTAGAAGTTGCACTCACAGATCCACCACATGAGACCAGGCTGGCTTTTTTGTAATCCTGATCTTGCCTCCTGTACTCACAGCAGTCATCCCACACTGACCTTCAGCCATAGCCTGAACCTACTGCTCCACACCTCCTCCACCAGTGGTGCTCCTTGGAGTTCATAACTGCCCTTCACCTGCAGACACTGGCCCCGGACCAGCTCCCCAATGGCTTCTTTCATTCATTACTCCTTACCCAAATATTGTTCTCACCCACCTGCTGCTACCATGTGTTCTGCCCCTGAGCCAGGACTGAGGATATGAACTGAAGGTGGTGATTTTGTCCTTGCCCTTGACCCATCCCTGACCATTCACTCTGAGGCTGTGCAGGGGCCTGTGTTTGATGACCCTTCCATAGATTCTAAGGGCCAGCTCTGCCACAGCTCTGTATCAGACTGGGATGTGGTATGCATTTTTTTTTTAAAGAAATATCTGAGCAAGGGATGAGCAGTAACAGGACATTTAGACCCCAGAGGAACTAAGTGACTTCACTCTCTGTGAGGTGGCAGCTTTCCTAGGGTCCAGCCACAGCTTACCAATGCCTGGTTCAGCTGGCCTCTGGCCTCTAACAGCTTCACAGAATCGTACAGATGGGGGCATCACCTGGGCTTCAAGAGGGCTTCTTCCTCTCAGTCACTGGGTCCTGGAACCAGTGCCTCAAGTCATTGGGTGGGATGGGGACAGAAGATCATACTGTGGGGAAGTGGAAACCTCTGTAGGAAATGGGGAGCAGGGGTTGGGATATGGTGATGGAGTATGTTAGGGAGCAAGAGAAGTTCTAGCCTGGCTGGGGTGGCCAGGGGAGGGGTAGTGTACCTGGGAATCCCAACTCCCCTGTAGTAATCCCTTCCTGTCCCTTCTTCCCACAGAGCACTCTGCTGCAGCCAAGACGGGTGGCTGCTTCCCTGCTGGAGCCCAGGTGCGCCTAGAGAGCGGGGCCCGGGTGGCCCTCTCATCTGTGAGGCCAGGAGATCGGGTGCTGGCTATGGGGGAGGATGGGAACCCCACCTTCAGTGATGTGCTCATTTTCCTGGACCGTGAGCCAGACAGGCTGAGAGTTTTCCAGGTCATTGAGACCCTGGACCCTCCACGCCGCCTGTCACTCACTCCTGCCCACCTGCTCTTCACTGCTGACAATCACACAGAACCACCAGCCCACTTCCAGGCCACATTTGCCAGCCACGTACAACCTGGCCAGTATGTGCTGGTGGCAGGAGTGCCAGGCCTGCAGCCTGCCCGAGTGGCAGCTGTCTCCACACATGTGGCCCTTGGGGCTTATGCTCCACTCACAAGGCATGGGACACTGGTGGTGGAGGATGTGGTAGCTTCCTGCTTTGCAGCTGTGGCTGACCATCACCTGGCTCAGATGGCCTTCTGGCCCCTACGACTGTTTCCCAGCTTGGTGTGGGGCAGCTGGACCCTGGGAGAGGGTGTACACTGGTACCCTCAGCTGCTCTACCGCCTGGGACATCTCTTGCTGGAAGAAAGCAGCTTCCACCCACTGGGCATGTCTGGGGCAGGGAGCTGAGAGGGCCCAATTGCAGCCTTCTTGAAACTGCCATGCTGGATCCAAAGACCTTCCCACCAGAAGCGCTCTGGCTCTAGAAGAGACTTGAGCTAGGAGCAATGGGCCCCATCATCCACTCCAAAGTGGTGAGGCACCATCAAGACTTGACTGGACAGTGCCAGTATTCCTGTTCCCATCTTGGAATAGTGAGCTGGTGAGGGGGTAGGGTATCCTTCGTCCTGGAAACTTTGAGACTCGATTGTCAGTACAATTTTCACATGCCCCTTCCCACCATGAGGAGGCCCCTTATCATCCTGTCTTTGGACTGCTACTACAGTCTTTCTTAGGGCCTGGGTTTCTGACTTCACTGTAGGTAACAGACTGCAGTAGCAAAAGACTCCGCCCATAGGTGGGCTTGCACCTCAATTGATGCTGCTAGATTCCCTGGGAGCCAGCAGGGAGCTGGCTGGACTCATTACTGCCAGGAACTGAGAATGCCACAAGGCTGGGGCAGCCAGCCTGGCCATCCCACAGCGTGTTCTCTCCTCTGACCACACTCCTCCAGACTCATCCCAAGACTGTTGCTATCAGTGGGCAGAGTTGTACGTTCTGGTCAATGTGACCACAGCACCTGGGCCAGGGGAAGGAAGGCTGGATGTCCTTTCCACTCCTGCCCAGGCTAAGTTCCATTCTGCTGAACCACGACCCCCCACCCCCTCCTCTGGTCAGTTTCCCCCACCTTATTTATTGTCACAGAGGGGAAAGCCCATGGGAGAATTTTGGGGATGTTTTGGTTTTTTTCTTCCTTTTGTAATAAAAATTATTTAAGTTGTTAGAGCCGTGGAGTCCAGGGTACTAAATGTGCTGATTTAGTTCAGAGGAAGGCACAGGCTTGCTTTCCTCCTTAGCGTCTAGGAGCTAGCTTTCCTCCTCGGTACCTTCCTCCAAGGACAAAGCTGCAGGATTCCCACTCTGTGCAGGCCCTTCTCACCTACTAGATCTGCAAAGTCCCAGCAGAAAGCTGTGCTCTGCAATGGTAGGGGCTTTGCACGCAGATCCCAAAGTTTGCCCTGCACATAGTTGGACCAGAGAGAGAACTGAAGTAGCTAGTCTGTGGTTCCTACATATCCCAAGAACCACATCAGTGTGCCTTCATCAAGGTGGCTTTCCTGCTAACTCCAGTTCTCAGGGCCTGCCTTTTTTATTCTTCCCTGTTGGTAACACAATATAGAATGAAAAGATTCTGCAGAATTCACATGAACTGGTGCACATTCTGACTTCTTGGGTAAGTCAGGGATTCTTCACAGGGTGGGGAGTTGTCAAACCTCTGAATTACCTGGACAGCTTGCTTAAAGGTGATGCCTGACTTCATCTCTAGGACACTACTTTAATAGATCCAGTGTGAGACCCAGAGACTTATTCTATAAACACCCCAAGCCTGGCAGGCCATGTGTGAACAACACTTTACGAAGCACTGCTTATTCTAGAGAACGCCCAATTTATTGCCAATGCAGGGTAACACCACCCTTCACTTTTCTCAATCCCTCAATCCCAGGGCAAATTTTTGTATACCACTATGGATCACCTAAGATCCCAGGTGAAGCCAGTTAAAATAGGCCAGGCTGACCATGGAGTACTGTGGATGCTGGCCAGTGCTGCTGAGCCAGTTCTCCCTACCTGGCCCTCCATGGGAAGCCACTTGTTAAAACATGCCATTGCTCAGTCTAGCCTTCTGCGGAGACATTGTGATGGAAGGGAAGGGGAATGTAGCTTCAGACTTTACCTTCCCTCTGCCTCTACAGAGGAAAGTTCCAGAGAAAATAGCATTGCTCAGTGTTGGTGACATCTGGGGAACTACATCTCCACTGCTTTAATGCTAACTGCTACCACTTACTGAAGATGAGTATTGCTAGGCACCATTCTAGTCTTTCTGCGTATGACAGCCTCATGTAGCATGCACTTAAAGGTTGCCGTTTGCCACCTAGGAACATACCCAAGACTGCATGGCAAGTGATACTGAGGCAGGAGTGGAATCCTTCCAGCCGGGCTCTTGGGTCTATGGTTGCCACAGAGCTGTTCCTTGGTGAGGATGGGCTGCACCCAGAAGGTCATGCTTAGCATTTAAGGTCTGAAAATCTGCTTTGTCAGCACATCTAGAGTGGCCCCATCTCTCTACAGCAGATTCTCCTCAACCAGGCCAAAATGTCTATGAACTCTCATTGGAAGAAATGAGGTGAAGGTCCAGCTGGGCTTTATTATTATTATTATTATTATTATTATTATTATTATTATTATTTGTTTGGTACAGGGGTCCAAACTCAGGACCTTGTACTTGCCAGGTAAGTGCTTGTGCCACTGAGCTACACCTCCAGCCCACTGAGCTATACCCCAGGCCTAAGTTGTTCTTGTCTATCATTTGCACATTCTATCCTTGTAGACATTCTACCTGGTAGATCAGATTGTCATTGACAGTTGGTGAGCATGGATACATGGAGTGAATAATTCTGGGGGGGGGGAGACAGAGACAGAGACAGAGACAGAGACAGAGACAGAGAGAGAAAGACAGAGACAGGGAGACAGAGAGATTGACTCACCCATGGAGTGTGGCAGATACAAAGTCATTTGCTATCCCCAGATCTTTTACCTCCTCAGGGAACACATTCAGACAGACAAGGCTGCAAAGATTCAGCAAAAAACCCAAAAAAGTTTTAAAAACAGCAACAACTGAACTTAGGCCTTTCTCTGTTACTTTTCTCTTATTGCTGGGACAAAATACTCAACACCCAAAATTAAGGAAGGAATTATTTAGCTCACAGTTCATGGAGGTTTCCATCCATACTCAACTGGCTCCAAGACAGAGTGGCACATGGCAGAGGGTAGCAGTTCTCAGAGGCACAAAACAGTTAAACAGCAAGAACAAAAAGGGAAGAGCAAAATCAGCATTGGCTACAGAGGCAGAGGCAAGCCTCTCTCCCTTCCTTATACTATATTCTGGCTATCTGTGGGTGTAGCTCTCACACCTGCAATCCCAGCATTAGATCATGAATTAATCACAAACTCTAGAAGCTGTCCCATGTCTACATGAGACTTTGGGGGGCAAGTAGACACAAACCATAACAAGGCCCTCAAAAGATTAAACTTAGAAAAGATAAAAGGGAGGCTGGGGCTGTACCTCAGTGGTGGAGCATTTGACTCATGTTCCAGAAGCCCCAGGTTTGAGACAGGAGGATCTCTATTAGTCCAAGCTGTGTAGTGAAACCCTGTACCAAATAAGTAGGAGACCAAAAAAAAAAAAAAGACATTTATTGTATTTCTCCCAGTTCTGGAGGCCAATATTGAGGTGCTGGTATCTAGAGAGGAACTTCGTGCTGTGTGTCCTATAGAGAGAGACTGGCAAGAGAGTTGAAGAAAGCAAAAGGAAGGGGGAAACTCATCTTTCCATCAGGACCCCCATTCCTGTGATCACCAATCCACTCCTACAATATTGGCATGGATCCATTCCCAAGGGGAGAGCCTTCATGACCCACTCTCCTCTTAGAGAGCCCCCTCTAATCACTGTTGCACTGAAGAACAAGTTTCCAGCACATAACTTTGGGGGTTGTATTCAAACCATAGCACCCTCCCGACATTTTAGAAGTACATGGGGAAGAAATGCAAAGGGAGCCCGATAGCTCAGTCCAGCAAAGTGGAGGCCTGGGCCAAAGTCCATAGGTCCCTGGAGAGACAAGGAGGTAGCAAGATCTGGAGAGCTGGCATGCGGGAGACTAAGTGGAAGGATTTCCAACAAGGAGCTCTCCAGCTACCTGGGCAGACCATCCTCAACAGAGGGGCCTCTGCAGGCTGTACTCCCCCAAGCTGTCCTTGCAGTCTGCTGTCTCTTGCTTGGAAAGCCTCGATTATTGCATCCCTCTCCTCTAACTGGAGCCTCAGGGTGCTACATGCAAGAGGACTTCTGACAGGGAGTAGCCCAGAGTTGAGCCGAACCCAAAGCAACAGTCTTAAGCAGCAGGCCTGCTGCTAGCACCTGGCCCTGTGAGAGAACTAAGAATAAGTATCCTCCATTGAAAAGCTTTGGGCTGGGTCTTCAGTGGGGTGAGTAACTTCGGGAACAGAGGCAAGTGGATCATTAGAAGCACAGGTGTAGAGGGAATGTTTGGGGGCATGTTTGACGACTGGACCAATATAGTTGGGGCTAGATGTTTCAGGAGGGGAAACTGAGTCAGCCAGGTGAGGAGGAAGAATGCTGTGTCCCATGGTAGAGGCCGGACTGGGGTGCTCCTTGGAGGAGGGAACCCAGGCTCTACTTCCACCACCTTGGAGGGTGCCCCTGGCAGGGGAATCTTTTCTATTTGCCACAATTCTCTCACCCCGTGCCCTCTGACCCCTGGAGTGGCTGCACCTCCTGGGGCTCGGCCCCACATCCCACACCTACCTCTGGTTCTCAAAGCCTCTTTGTTCCCCAGGCTGAGTTTAGCCAGCGCCGATCTGATAAGGCCAAGCAGAGTAGATAGCAGCCCCACCCTGCACGCAGCCCTGCCCTCAGCCGCTCCTGCTGGCTTTGCACGCACGCACTGCCCCAGCTAGGCACAAGCCAGAGGCCCTCCCCAAGCAGATAGGGACAGGGTTAGATTCTCTCCACTGCTCATTTGTGACCTCTCTTATCCCCCAGAGAAGCAGTATAGAAGAATTATTATCCCCATTTCAAGGATAAATAAATCAAGTTCCAGAGGACAATAACTTGCCCATGCTCTTTCCACCTTCTGGAGCATCTAGCATGAACCAAGAGTGCCAGATGTGTGCTATTTACGTCCTCTTTTTAGTCCTAAAGGTCTGGGAGATCAGCTCATTCCTAAACTTTACTTTGCATATAAGAAACTGAGGTCCCCAGAAATACAAAGTCATTTTCCTAAAATCTTATAGTAGTAAAAACCAGACCAGAGTCCAAGTTCGCTGCAACAGCAAACCCAGAGAGGGAGGAACTGATGAGTCCCCATCCTGGGGGAACTGGAGAAGGTGCTCCTACCCCTCAATCTAGGGATTCTCAGGACTGGGAATGGCTAGACCCTGTCAAAGAGGATGGCCCTGGTGGAAGAGTGTCCCAGACTCCTTGAGCGAACCCAGGACAGAGCATGGAGTGTTTAAAATATATGTCTAACGTGAATCTGGTCTGAGGCAAGATGGGAAAGGGCCATCCAACTTTTGTCTGGTTTACCCTGAGACTGTGTATAGCTTATAGATAGGTATTCTGGCCCATGGCCCAGCTGAACTCCCAGCCAAAAGGCAGCACCCACTGTCAGTCACGGAAGTGCACCCTGTGGACACCCAGCCCAATCAAGCCTTCAGATGACCAGCCCAGATTGCAGTGTTTGAAGCACTCCAAACCTAGCACTGCCTGACCAAGGCCTGACCTCCTGACTCAAAAACCCCTAAGAAACATGAAATAGTTGTTTGGAAAGTTGGCACTTTGGGAGTCATTTCTCACATAGCACAAATAACCAGAAAGAGAACAAATAGAAAAAGTCATCTCCTGAGGCTTTCCAAAAGCCTTTAGCATAAGTTGCTAAAAATGCCTTTTAGAAACAGAGGGGCTGTGAAGCTGGAGGGGAGGTGATGTGCTCTCATCATCCAAAGGGGCAGTATGAGAAGACACTGGAATGGAATATAGTACATTTGGGGCAGATGGAGGCAGGGGCAAAGGAAGGGTTTCATGAACACACCTCTCCACACTCAACACATGTGAGAAAATGTGTGTAACATTCTGGCAGGACATCTGATGACAGCAAACTCCTGAGCAAAAGGGAAGAGGCTTGAGGTGGTTCTAGAAGGAAGCATGTGGA